AGTATTAACTAAACCATAATATCGTATAAGTAATTGATGTATCAATTTGATCTATCAACTTTTAAAGAAAAGGTTGAATAGTGACTTCTATCACGATAGTAAAGATCGCCATGCACTCTTTGCATAATCAAGGATGAGAGTTGCAATCGTGTATAAGGTTAGTCTTCGATTGAAATGATAGGGCAGTCACTTTTTTGATATTCCTGGCGGATTCCCGGCGTCCCTGAACGGGATCCTGATTCTCTCATTTTCTCTTTCTTTTTCAATCTCTTACCCTTAGATAAAAAGGCGTGATAAATAAATATGAAATTAATACACTAGAATGCCAAAGAAGGATGCAATTGAATTAACTTTGCATCTTCTCTTTATTTATTTTCCTGACAGCTTATCATTATAATACACATGAGATAATAATCAGTCCATTGATATCATAATATTAAATATTTAGATTTATATTAAATAGATTTTAATAATTATATGAAATTAAATCATTTAAAATTTTTTAAACATAGCATAATACATGATACATGTACAATAATAATGAACATAATAATAATACAATACAACAGTACAAAAATCGTATAAAAGGAATAAATTAATAAATTGTAACAATAAAATATTTAAATAATTTAAGTAGTTTTTAAAGTATTTAAATAATTATTGATTAAAAGTTGTATAAATTATATAATTATTATTATTGCTTCCATGATATTCTCAAATAATTAGCAATTAGCTAATCAATAATTATACAAAAAATTGCGTTCAGTTAATCCATTGAGTAAGTTTTTATTCTTTCATTCAATTTAATTAGCATAGATAAAGAATAGTTCACTAAATTTGGGACATTCTTTTTATATCACGATTATTAACTGAGCACACGAATAGTTTGATTTACGACATTGCATAAATTATCATATTTTAACGTAATTGATGACTATATTTCCTTTAAGAAAAAATCAAATTTGATCTGACTTTGATAAGATTAACAATTTACGATATTATTAGAAACAATTGTTACTTAAATTATTAAGAATGTCATTTTTACGAATTTATAAACACACACACACATACACACTTTAATTTAATTAATACCAATTTTAATTCCAGATGAATGAATTTATCATGTATTTAAATAAACGAAAAATCTAAATATTTTTATTTAAAAAATCATACAAATAATTTATCTAATCAACATCGTACCTTTTTCATTATAAATTTTAACAACTAATATCTGCTTACTATATTGTTAGAGTTTGTTATTATCATCAAATATTTCTGTAAAAAGGTTTAGTATATAAGTTAGATGTTTAGCGTTCTTACAGAATTTACAGATTACTCATAGAATATCCTTTAGGACATTGTCTTTTTTTTAGAATGTATAAGGGAGAAAATATGGAGTAATATTTTATTTTAAATTTGAAAAGGTACGTTAAGATTGCCTTGAAAAGCAAACAGCTAGTACTTTGATGCTACGGTCGTTTGACTGAAACGATCTTGCTATTGTCCACTAAAATATCGCGACATAAATACCGTAGGCATTAATCGTCACGGCAACATTTGACGCTGCAAGTACGCGTGGAGAAGGGTTAGGTCGGGAGCTAGCATATATTAACCTTTCGTTATATAGTCTGTCAACCCGGGATTGAAAGAAAAAGACGACGAAGAAGAGTCTCGCTCGCATAGCCTTCTTGGAATCGCGACTTTCCCTTCTCGTGGGTGGAACAACGGTTGAGATCATCAATCGCGACCGTGGATCCTGGCCAAACCTAACTTAGTCAACCAGGATATGTGCTACTTTTATGGCATATATATGCATGACGACTGAATAAAATGGATTATAGAAAAATATTAATAATTAGATATTAAAATATATATTAAAAAATCTATTTTATTAGGATCTAAATAAATATTAACATATTATAATTCTAAAATGATGTGGAGAAGTCGAAATATTTTAAGTATGAAAACTAAAAAATTAAGAGATAATCTACATAATAATAAACATAAAAATATCTCTATGTCGCCATTTAGGGAGGTTGCGGATACGGCAATAGTTTCTGATAAATCATCGTTATTTTCCGCAATAGCAGTCAACATTCTTACGAGAATATAGAGATATCCTGATTATTAAACCATAAGACTTATCGGATTAAACAGAAAAGGGGGATAAGCAAGCAATCAAATTCGGTACCGGATGTCATATTTTATCTTCGAGTCGATTCATCCCCAATACTACGATCGATATGCTAGTACAGCTTCTAATACATATCTAATATTATTTTTATATTTGTATAATTCAATTCTTATAAAAATATGACTGAATATTTTGAGTTATCACGCCTTACAAATAATACAAGGCGAGGGGGGGGAGAGGAGGAGGAGAGTAAAATAATTTAATAATAGTTTCAAAAAATCAATTATATCATGTAAGGAAATGTCGCGTAATTTTAAAAATGTGAATAACATTGTAAGTACAAAAGTTTATTTAATTAAAGAAGAAATTAAATTTTCTTAAGTAAGCAATGCTGCAACGCGATTGATAACTTGAGGTATTCTCAATTAGACGGGCAATTTATATTAGATATGTGATATATGATCCCTTGCATCTTTAACATGAGATACGATCTTGATATGTTCCAGCAATTGTAAAACTGACTAGTCATTATAAGTTTATTTAATTAAATTGTCATTAAACTTATGAGTTATTGCAATTAGTTACTTGTTATAATTAAGTTACAATTTTTATTAATTAATATAAGTTAATAGAATAAAATTTTTTAAATTAATTGTTTAAATTATTATATTTAAGAGCAAAATCAAAATTTTAATTAAAAATAAATTTGTCTCTAATTTATGTTTCTAGATACCTGTTCTAACAAAAAAACAGAAAGCACTACAATTATTTTTATGAACTACATTTGCCTATAGTTAATTGAAGACTTTGAATTCTTTAAAGTAGGTTAAGTAAAATTTTCTTCTTTCCTGCAAAATTTAAATGAATTCGAAAGACTGAAATGTCTTTTCCGTTATATATTCTGTATGCAGGAAAGATGTGCATATAAATTCGCAAACGTGAGTGCATAAACCATCATTTTATATTATGCATGCGAAGAGAAAATAAATGCGAATTACGAATAAACCAAAAATTTAAGAAAAAGATATATATACATATAAATTAATTAAATTTAATCTTAATTAAATTGGAATAATCTTGTATGCAATATATGATGCATCTATTATAAAATTACATCATTTATACTTTCACACATTATTATACTGAACATACACACACATTCACGCGCGTATATGTATGTGTAATATATGCAAAATCCTAAATTATTATCTCATGCAGATTGAAAATTGAATAAGAATTTCTACCGTTAGTCATTGATCGCTTTCGACTTTCGCTTATATAAAATGGATAATTCATTGAGATCAGAAACGACAGAGAGAGAGTAACAGTTAGTTATTCTATCACGCCTAAAAAAGTGAAAGCATATTACATCAAAGAATGATAGCAATATATTAAAAATAAAAAATGATCTCTTAATTATTGATAAATCTTTTGCTAAAAGAAATACCTATATACATATTTAAACATGCAGTATTGATTTTGTTTTAACTTTTATAATATAAAGCTTATATTATTTTTTTTATACCGTCCATAAACATAATAAAAACATATTAGACTGCGTGTTGTTAGTTGTATAATGTTTAGAAAATTAATAGCTGAGAATTACAAATCGCTCTAACTATACAGAAACTGGAAATGCCGACTATGATATTTCACGATACACGCTTGCAGATCGCATCAAATACTTAATTCTACCGACTGATATTAAAGGCTAACTGTTTTTAAACACAGCTCGATAATTACATCATGTTTCATTGGAAATGTCACATGCCTGGACAAAGCAAATTATTGCGATTAACAATTGTTTCTTATTAGAAAAAGGATCTTCTGCATAAAGATAACATAACGACTAGCAGTAAATGTAGTTTACGCGAACTTACAGGCAATTATAGCTTTATAAATAAAGAAAGATATTATATACGCATATGTGTGAGACACGAATACCTTTAGATTTTTATTAATCATAATAGAAATTTATATACTTTTATTGTCATTAGAATCATGGATGATATCACTAGTTTCATAATACGTTTCTATGTGGAGTGATATTTTTTTCGTTCCATAACTTTAACTTCTAATCGCGTTTCACTATTTATTTCTATCCACATAATTCTTTAATTCATTGAATAAATTATCTTAAAAAATAATAATTTTTTATACAGCTCACATACTATTGGGTTGGAGGAAAAGTCCTGCGGTTTTCATTAGTTCAAAATTATATACATAATGTCTTTGTCAAAAATTAACAAAATTGAAATTTAAAAAAAGATTGTAAAGCTCGAAATTCCTACTTTCAAAAGGTTTTTATAATTTTTTGGTTCAGTGAATTTAGTCACTTTTACATACAGAAAACTAAAAGCTGAAAAAAGAGTAACTTTTCTTCTCACTTTGTGGGTCTGTCATATACCAAAAAAAAATTTTCCGAATATTTTCGACTATCTAATATAAGAGCTTAAAGTTTTTCTTAAAAATTTGTTTTTAAAAAATTTTTCCTAAGACTTTTTGTTACTGAATTACGTGCGAATTAAATAAAGAAACATTTTGATTTTAATTGTTTATAACTCCGTTAAAAATCATCGCAATTAAAAAATCAGATTCTTAAAGCTGAAACTTCGCTCAATCGAATGGTATAATCGCTAATTATTTAAATGTACACTATACCATTTTAAGTTAATAAAATACCGCAGAACCTTTTTTCTAACACAATATTATTAAAAATGTTTTTTATTCTTTTGTAATATATATTAAATATATTTTACAAAGAAATTAAATAAAATTTTATTAAAAATGTGAATATAATTATACATAACACATACGTAGATTCAACTTATCTATTGCAAACAATAAAAAAACAATTATTTTTCAGATGATTGCTACTTCTATGTCGCAACTCACTCAGGAATTAACAAGCACCAATCGAGATGGCGAAGTCATTTTGAGCATTAGTGATGAACAAAAAATTCAATATTTGAGCCAAAACTTTGAATCAGGCAAGTCCAAAAGATTTAAAAATAATGAAAGAAGTTCAGATAACAAAGAGTTGAACACAAGTAAGGCGAGTCCGTAATTTGAATATCCATTTTAGATATATCTATCTAAAATGAGACGTAAAAATTATAGGCTTCACTTTTCTTATAGTCAAAATTTAGATATAATAAGTTATGATTATTATATTGTACTTTACAGATGCATACAAATACGGTTACGATGTCAACCCGCATGGACAATTTCATCACGAAATACGTGGTCTACATGGAATTACCTATGGATGTTATGGGTACGTTGATCCCTTTGGTCACCTGAAAACAACGTTTTATATCAGTGACGGATGGGGTTATCGCGTTGTTCAACCAGGGAAGGATGTGGAACTTTTCCTTCACAAGCATGAACATCATGAAACCGGAGACAAACATGATCATCACGAGCATCACGGTGTGATTACACCATGGCGAGAATTATATTTCCCCGTGGTGTGTGCGCAATATACAAACACGAACATTCCACCAAATGAAGGAAGTATGTTAATGAAGGTATATGTGATCTGACAGTAAAAAAGTTCCATGATTGAGGAATATTTAAAAAAAATACAAACATCTCACAACAAATATTATTTTGTATTCTTAATTAAAATCGTTCTTCATGACATCAATACATTTCACATAGATAATATATATATATATATATATATATATATATATAATATATACATAAATTACTCGAAACTTTTTTTAAATATTCTGTAATCGGAGTTGTGTTTAAAGCATTCAACACATTCCTCTGTAAAAGTCTTCGACGTCTTGGAAAATATTTATCTTTCAAAATGTTTTAGAGCTTCTGGAAACAGCATTGCAAACAGCATTACAAGCATTTAAAAAAATGTTAAGGTTTTATATAAAAAAAAAATGTGAAATGTGTTGATGTTGTAAAAGATTACTTTAAAGTTTAACAGAAAAAATACTACATTTTGTTAGATATATTCTTTATTGCTATTGTTGGGAACTTTATTGTCAGGTCATGCCCAGACAAAACGAAATATTTATAAAACATTAACGCAGCAGTCTGGGATACATTATGCACAAAAACTACAGATGAATTTGATAATAAAATAAATGTGTGGCTACATTTTAAACAGCGCCTATTGGAAGTGGATCAACAATTGAAACAACACCGACTCGACCTCCTTATAGACCTGACTCATCAGGTATAAAAATTTTAAATACTATATTATATATTAATAACAATATATTTAAAATTATATAATAAAGCATACACATATTATATATACAGACTAGTATTACATGTATAAAGTTAATTCCAATATTATTAAATTCCATAATGTGTTTAATTTAAGAATTAAAAAATATATTACAAATTAAAAAAAGCGAAACATTTGATACTATTTTTCATAAGTCATTACAATTGGACGTTAACAAAACTAAAATTTGATTGTCACATTTGTTAGTGTTAAACATCAAATAAGAAGATATACCTTCATTTCAAAATCTTGTTACAATACAGATAAAATAGAAAGACATGGAATATGTTTTCTTAGATTGTAATTGTCGAGATATATGTATACGTATATATACACACAATGAAAACGTTTTCTTAGAAAGAGTAAAATAATAAAATTATATATAAAGGTACGAAATACATTGTACAATTGATAAAATAGAAAAAAATAATATTATTAAGTAAAACATAATATTTAACAAATATTAAAATCTTTTTAGGACCGTACTATTGATAAACAATAAACGAGAAGAAGGAAGCCTAGTAACGGTCAAAGCTAGATCACAATGTTTACTATTATAATGTGTGAATTTTATATACCGCGTATGTAGTTCCTTTAATCGCGTGCCGAAATTTTTTCAAACTTACAACGCAACTCTAATGAACTACCGTAGTAATATCACTTAGTTAAACACTCTTTATATAGAATCTCGAATTAATAACTTACACAGGCGTCTAAGGTAGGCTCCCACTACATTACCTTACTGATAAGTCTAGTAGTGGAAGCCAGGACGAAACGCCAACTTGTGATATTCTTCGCAATCATATATTTCACAAATTTTGAGTTATCATTACTTTAAAATTACATCGTTAGATTTTAATATGTCTTTCAACATATTATTAAGATCCAATAAGATGCTATAAGCATAAAAAATTGTTAGATTACTTGTCAATTTAACTAAGTGATATTACTACGGTAGTTCATTAGAGTTGCGTTGTAAGTCTGAAAAAATTTCGGCACGCGATTAAAGGAACTACATACGCGGTATATAAAATTCACACATAATAATAATAAGCATTGTGATCTAGCTTTGACCGTTATTAGGCTTTCTTCTTCTCGTTTATTGTTCATAATATTTAAGTAATATTAAACATACTGATACACAAGTAAAACGAAAACATTTATATGATCATTTTATCAGTATTCAAGCGAGCTTCATACATGTTATTCCATACGTTATTGTTCATCAACATTCACAGAACATCCAAATGTTCCTGGCACATCAGGAAAACCAGGAACGCTGCCGTATCCAGGACATCCGGCTATTCCTGGGCATTCAGGAACTTCAGGCACACCAGGAAAACCAGGAACACCGTCGTATCCAGGTCATCCGGGAATTCCTGGACATTTAGGAACTCCAGGCACACCAGGAACACCGTCATATCCAGGACATCCTGGTATTCCTGGGCATTCAGGAACTCCAGGCACACCAGGAAAACCAGGAACGCCGTCGTATCCAGGACATTCGAGTATTCCTGGACATCCAGGCACGCCAGGAAAACCAGGAACACCATCGTATCCAGGATATCCGGGTATTCCTGGGCATCCAGGAACTCCAGGCACACCAGGTACACCAGGAACGCCGTCGTATCCAGGACATCCGGGTATTCCTGGGCACCCAGGAACTCCAGGCACACCAGGAACGCCGTCGTATCCAGGACATCCGGGTATTCCTGGGCATCCAGGAACTCCAGGCACGCCAGGAAAACCGGGAACGCCGTCGTATCCAGGACATCCGGGTATTCCTGGGCATCCAGGAACTCCTGGCAGACCTGGAACGCCGTCACATCCAGGATATCCGAGTATTCCTGGGCATCCAGGAACTCCAGGCACGCCAGGCACACCAGGAACGCCGTCACATCCGGGACATCCGGGTATTCCTGGACATCCAGGAACTCCAGGCACACCAGGAACGCCGTCACATCCGGGACATCCGGGTATTCCTGGGCATCCAGGAACTCCAGACACACCAGGCACACCAGGAACGCCGTCACATCCGGGACATCCGGGTATTCCTGGACATCCAGGAACTCCAGGCACACCAGGAACGCCGTCACATCCGGGACATTCGGGTATTCCTGGACATCCAGGAACTCCAGGCACACCAGGAACGCCATCACATCCGGGACATCCGGGTATTCCTGGGCATCCAGGAACTCCAGGCACACCAGGAACGCCGTCATATCCAGAACATCCGGGTATTCCTGGACATCCGGGTATTCCTGGACATCCAGGAACTCCTGGCACACCTGAAACGCCGTCGTATCCAGGACATCCTGGTATTCCTGAGCATCCAGGAACTCCAGGCACGCCAGGAAAACCAGGAAGACCGTCGTATCCAGGACATCCGGGAATTCCTGGGCATCCAGGAACTCCAGGCACGCCAGGAAAACCAGGAAGACCGTCGTATCCAGGACATCCGGGAATTCCTGGGCATCCAGGAATTCCAGGCACGCCAGGAAGACCAGGAACACCGTCGTATCCAGGCCATTCGGGAATTCCTGGGCATCCAGGAATTCCAGGCACGCCAGGAAGACCAGGAACACCGTCGTATCCAGGACATCCGGGTATTCCTGGACATCCAGGAACTCCAGGCACACCAGGAACGCCGTCACATCCGGGACATCCGGGTATTCCTGGGCATCCAGGAATTCCAGGCACGCCAGGAAGACCAGGAACACCGTCGTATCCAGGACATCCGGGTATTCCTGGACATCCAGGAACTCCAGGCACACCAGGAACGCCGTCACATCCGGGACATCCGGGTATTCCTGGGCATCCAGGAATTCCAGGCACGCCAGGAAGACCAGGAACACCGTCGTATCCAGGACATCCGGGTATTCCTGGACATCCAGGAACTCCAGGCACGCCAGGAAGACCCGGAACACCATCGTATCCAGGATATCCGGAAATTTCTGGGCATCCAGGAACTCCTGGCACACCTGGAACGCCGTCGTATCCAGAATATCCTGGTATTCCTGAGCATCCAGGAACTCCAGGTACACCAGGAAAACCAGATACGCCGTCACATCCAGGACATCCGGGAATTCCTGGGCATCCAGGAACTCCAGGCACGCCAGGAAAACCAGGTGCACCGTCATATCCAGGACATCCGGGAGTTCCTGGACATCCAGGAACTCCAGGCACGCCAGGAACGCCGTCACATTCAGGACATCCTGGTATTCCTGGGCATCCAGGAATTCCAGGCACGCCAGTAAGACCAGAAACACCGTCGTATCCAGGACATCCGGGAATTCCTGGGCATCCAGGAATTCCAGGCACACCAGAAATACCGTCGTATCCAGGACATCCGGGTACTCCTGGGTATCCAGGAATTCCAGGCACACCAGGAACGCCGTCATATCCAGGACATCCAGGAACTCCAGGCACGCCAGGAAAACCCGGAACACCATCGTATCCAGGATATCCGGAAATTTCTGGGCATCCAGAAACTCCAGGCAAGCCAGGAAGACCAGGAACACCGTCGTATCCAGGACATCAGGGAATTCCTGGGCATCCAGGAACTCCAGGCACGCCAGGAAAACCGGGAACGCCGTCGTATCCAGGACATCCGGGTATTCCTGGGCATCCAGGAACTCCTGGCAGACCTGGAACGCCGTCACATCCAGGATATCCGAGTATTCCTGGGCATCCAGGAACTCCAGGCACGCCAGGAAAACCGGGAACGCCGTCGTATCCAGGACATCCGGGTATTCCTGGGCATCCAGGAACTCCTGGCAGACCTGGAACGCCGTCACATCCAGGATATCCGGGTAGTCCTGGGCATCCAGGAACTGCAGGCATTCCAGGGAGACCAGGAACGCCGTCATATCCAGGTCATACTGGTATTCCTGGGCATCCAGGAACTCCAGGTATTGCGGGAATTGTTGAATTATATCCAACGTATCCTGGTACGTCTAATACACTTGGAACTCCGGGTACACAAGGAAAACCGGAAACATCATATCCAGGACATATAGGAATTAGTATCGCTAGCACATCTGGTACTCTCGGTATATCAGAAATATTCGAAGATCAAGAAAAACCAATATCGTCATATCCTGGATATCCTATTTATCCCGTTACATTAGAAACACCTAATGTACCTTTACCTTCTGAGACGTTAGGTAAACCAGATGATTTATTATATCCCGGAACTACCACTACATCAAATAGGCCAAGCATTTCTTTCAACCCAAATAAACCAGGTATATTATTTAGATTATATAATTATTTTTACTGTAATTATGAATATTACATCAAGCATTATTTATACTGGTATTGCATATGGTTTAAATATGTGATGATTTATTCATATTGTTCTGATTACATCTATGTAGGTTATCCTGGTTATCCTACGTATCCAGAATATACGGAAGATTCAAAATATCCAGGAGGGGCAATAGGACCTGAAGGACCAGTGGGAGGTGAAGGTCCGATTGGTGATATTGGCGGCATAGGAGGTAGCGGTGGTGTTGGTCTTGATGGTTCTGACGGGCCATGGCCAACCGGTTCCCCGGGTCCTGATGGACCATGGCCTGGTGATCCAGATTATATACCCGGAATAAAACCAACAAGAAAACCTTCGCGTAAAGGTGCAATAACCCATTCTACGATTGAGTCATTTGACACAGACAAATATAACTCCATCTCGAAATATAGTTTTAATAATAAAACTGATTCTTCATATACGGGTTATACTCTAAAGGATATCGAATTGTCACACCTATCGAAAATTAATACATCGTTATATAATATAAAACATAATCAATATAGACCTCAATACGAAACTCAATCTACGTCATCAATCTATGGGGAAAAGGAAACTACCTATAATGCAAACAAAATTAATTCATTGTTGCAAACAGATCTGACACCGTCATCATTGAAATACGAGATCGAAGATTATCAATATACAGATGTATTGAAACCAAATTCACAATTTTATGATCACTTGATATATACAGGACCACAACAAATAAAAAAACCTTCAAAAAATGACTTCAAGCAATTTTTAGTGCACGATCGAGATCACTATCGAAAGTCAATATTTTATCCATCTTATAATTCGCAACAGCAATCTCCTAAAGGCGCAGATCAATTTTATAAATTAAAACAACAAGAAAACAAACTTAACGTGGATGAACAATATAATAACTCTGCCAATGTGAATGGCAAATTGATTTCTAACGTGTCCTTTCAATCGGATGGACTTTCCTCTGCTCCAGACAGACAGGTAAATGCACGCCTTGAGCAGACATTCCAGATGAATCCCGTTCTCGACGCTATCGGGGTTCAGCCGCCCAGCTCCATCAACGTCAAGCCCTTATCGTTACCTGTAGGGCCAAATTCACAAGCATGTCCCTGTTACTTAGTCGAGCCGAATAACAACACAAACGTAGCAACCAGCTCGACTCTTACCTCTATCATTGGTCAATTGGGATTCATTCCTGTTATCTTCGTACCATACTGTCCTGGCAAAGAGATGGACAGCAATAAGATGAAACTTATGTTCCCGTCCGCCACTCCTGTTCCATATGCATGCGACACATGTAATACACAAAACAACAAATTTGTTGTAAAAACGCTCGATATAAATCAACTTGGTAATATCGACTATCTCAAAGAGGCATTATATCAATCCAATCTTGGCTTTTTGAATGTTCCAGTTAAGACCAACATCGAACGAAGAAGAACCAAAAGCTGAAAGGCGAAATAAGGATTGTAACACTAATTTATTAAGCTTAAGTTGCGATCGTTCTAAAAAGAGCTTATCTTCTCCTGGAGAATAGAAATAAATATAGGATATTGGCATTGCCTGTCCGTCAGCTGCTGGTTAGTTGATGGATGGCCAAATTAAAAGTATTTACCGAAATGACCAAAGTCAATAGAATATACAAAATCTTCAAACTAAAAATTGAATTAATAATAAATTTTTTCAGTATTATTTTTATTAAATTAATTTACCTTCTAGCTGCACAAAGAACAGATAAATGATTAACTTTCTACCAATTTCATTAATTTGACGAAATTAAAAATAAACACTAAAAATAGATTTCTTTTGTATTATAGATATAATTCCCTCTTAACATTTTTGTTTTGAATTTTATATACAATATATACTTAGCATAATTTTTTATTATTTAAAATATATGCTGTCCTATATTATTTATAAAAATAGCAATTTTATAAATTGATGAAAATTATAAAATTATTAGATTTATTAAGATTGTTTATTCAATATTTAGTTTGATGTAAAACTAAAGAGAGAAATTTTTTTGTAGATGCTATTTCTAGATTCTATACGGTTCAGTACAACCAATATCCTGATATTTATTATTACAATTTGTATAATAGAAATTTCTGTGCTAAACATTTTATATTTGATTTTTTAAAGTAAAATTAAAGATTATATAGTATATATTATTAATTTAATATATACATTAGATGTGTAGAAATTATTATAATAAAATATAAAAATTGTATGTTTTTAAATTTGTAATTAATTTCTCCTTTCCTTAAACATTTTATAACATTGCGGAAAATAATTAATAAATCAATAATTAGCATAAATTTATTATATAAGAAATACTGGTGTGTATGTGTGTGCGTGTATATATATACAATAGAGAGAGAGAGAGAGAGAGAGAGAGAAAGAGTGCGTGAGTACACAGCAATATTAGCTTTTAAAAATAACTTTAATTTAATATAAACGAAAGTAACATATAATATTACTTATATTAAATAAGTAAATCAAAAAAGTAAATATTAAGTATAAAATTAAATGTTAAAAGAAATGTAATATTAATTATAAGTAGAAAAGTATATATATAAATATGAGGAATAAAAAGTACCACATATATAATATAATATAATAATAACAATATCAGTATCAATAAGAATCTTAAACGGTACATGTGAGAACACAATCAATATAATTATCAGATTTTTATTTTAATATTAGATAGCATACATATATTATTTGTACTGTAAAATTATATCATGATTTTTCTTTTATATTATATGAAAGATATGTTATCATACAGCTTTTGCATATTCCAACAAAACTTAAAAATGTAATAGTTTATATATTACTAAAATTGTACATATTTGTATTAACACAAATGTAATATATTAATCCATTTTTAATTATATTGTTTATAAGTATTACGTGAAAATATAACAAAATCACGTTTATGAATAACCACGATAACCAGATGGATTACTCAAAGAAGTGCCATAACTATCACTACGATAACTGTAAGGAGAATATGGACTCCTCGCTGCATATGTTGAGCCATATGTACCATATGTGTTTCCATAACCATAATTATCGTATCCATCATAACGACCACGTCCGTATCCTAAATCGTCGTAACCTCCAACACCATAACCCCCATAACTACCAGGATAATATCCCCTTCCATAATCCCCATATCCTCCATATCCTCGATAGCCTCCATATCCGCCATACCCAGGATAATTTCCATAATACCCATATCTGTAATCAAGAAAATGATTTTCTCTCTTTTCATTTATGGAACGTTGCGTGTAAATAATATCTCTTTTTCGAAAATATTTTTTATTGAAATATTTGTATGTCCTATGTATTACATAGAAGATAGAAGTGTAAAATAATTACTGAATCATAACGGCCGAATGTCTAAGGGCTTTCAAGTCTTATTGATAAGCGCTATAGATAGCATGTATCCAATCGAACCGTGTTTAATCGTGTGCAAAGTAACGACAAAAGTAACTGTAAATTTCGTTACCGTTACCCAAAAAATGTAACTCGTTACAGTTACAGTTACCAAAAAAAGAAAGTAACGCAGTTACTAGTAAAGTTACCAAAAAAGTAACTTGTAACTGTAACTTCGTTACAAGTAACGAGTTACTTCCATTCCCTGTATATATATAGTAGAATCTATAACTGATATCTATTAATTGTGAGTATTAAATTTAAAAAATTTAAAAAGCATGTACTCTTATATTTTAAATAAATATTATTTTTCTTCTCTAAATATCATTCTATATATTATAAGAAGTTTGATAAAATCGAATCTTACCCGCCACCAATGGTTCCTCCTGGTCCAAGATAACCTCCATATCCTGGAATCAAGTTGTTACCACGATATGATGTACCAGGATAAACGGAACCAATGATTCCTGTATCATATGGATATCCAGGATATCTTCCAGGATATCCTCCAATTGACCCAGGATATCCACCAATTGATCCAGGATATCCTCCAGGATAACCTTTAGTTATGTGAAACGCTACACAAATATTTTTTATATGAATGATAAATTACACGTATCATTGAAATCAAGAATCAATTAATTCTTAAAAAATTATAGTTTTTTATAAAGATTAAATTTTATAATTTAGAATTTAAAAGATATTGTAATTTTTTAATATCTTTTTGTAGTAAACATAATTTTTACGTAATTTTTGCACTTGAAACCATGCCTGTAAAAAATAAAATAGGAATTCAAAAAATTACAAAATACTCGCAAATATGAATTAGAACACTCGGTGTAAGTAAGGCACAGGTATTTTTGTAAAAAGATATATATTTTTTTCATTTTTTAATGCCTAATTTTTTTTAAATAAGTTGCGGATGTAATATTAACTTTATCCAAAAGATATCTCCATTGTATTCTGAGAGATATTTCCTGGATAAAGATTGTTTAGAAGTGAAGAAATTGGGCACACATAAATGTAGAATGCACATAGATTATTTTCTATCGGTTTTAAATCTTCCAAATGGAAAAAAGAAACCAATATTACAAAAAAGTTTGATAATCTCTTATTTGTTCAACAACGCTGAATAAGACATTTAGAATTAAATATTCAAAAAAATTAAAAAGTTATAATCAGTTATTAAAGTTATAAAAACTTATTCAACAGATTGGAAGAGTAATTTCAGCAGAAATAGATTTAAGAATACGACGATTTATATTCGTGACGAAAATTACTATAAGAAAAAAGAAACTAATATTAAAATCAATGCAACTCAATCAAAGATATCGCCTTATTTATTTTCTTTTATTATTTTTTAATACACTTGATCAGATTTAATTTCCAAAACGCGTAAAATGAAAGTTTTCCGAAATGAGACATTGCGATTTTGAATTTAAATTTGTGTAGATTTCTCAGAATCAAACAATCCATCATTCTTCCTGCGTAGTTGACAGAATTTACAAAATTAACAATACAATTATGTTTACAAATACGTTTGTTAGGAATTAATTAAGTTGCGGAAATTAAAACACATGCAAGTTACGGAAAGAAAATTGTGAACGTAATAATCGTATAATAATCGATTGCGATTCATATATTCCGCACAATATAAGGATAATAGTGCAATGAGTAATCAGCATATTAAGTAAGTGTGTCACTGCCATTCTCACGCTCTCGACTTTGAAAGTCGGGCGCTTCCCATTACAAAAACGGAAAAAACATCACAGTTTGTAATAAGATGCTAATATAACGAGCCATCCGAAGGACTTCCTTCTTGAGAAAAAAATAGAAGTGATTCACTTCGAAGAAAATACTTTAGTATACGTACTTCCGCATTTTCTGCAATTCTCAAAAGAGTCTCACGCAACGAACTATATGTTTGAAAAGTTACGGAATAATTAATATAATCATGTATGGAATAATGTCTGTGTACAATAAACCCCATTATGTTATGCAACGAAGGTGCCATTAAATTGTCATATCAAAAAAGCTTGGTCGTATAGTCATGCGCTAGCGATCTCCTTGAATTACTCTGCGTTTAATCGTTGCAAACAGAATTATTCCAACTTTTTAATCGTAAATGAAAATAAGTCCATAATTTATAAATAATGATAAAAACATAAATAATAAGACTTGGTTATAGAGGGCATGAGCGTGTGTGAATGCGACTTTATAACTGCGAGATATAGATTGCGTAATTTAGGTAAGGCCATAGATAAATTATAAGTATCATAATAAATGTCAATCATGCGTAAGATTATATATTATATATCCGTAAATGTGTGTGTGTGTGTGTGTGTGTGTGTGTATGTGTGTCGACAAAATATACACGTAAGTATAAACAAGTTATTGATATTCTCTTACTTCGATCGCTCGCAGATTCAACCAAATCTCCCTGATTTTGTGTATTATCTGGATATACATTTTGTGCATTGTTTACTGGCGATAATTTTGTGAGTAATTTTAATTCATCCGAAGATTCATCTGCACTGTGGCATATTGCAATTAGACTGAAAGTCGATATCTGTGAAAAATATGCATAGTATATTACACACAGTATTTGGTAATGCAAAACAATTGTATACATGATTAAATGGCACAATGTGGATAACGCTATTAAACAACACGTGATTAAATATTTGCGGTTTAATTCGTAGAACTTGTAGATTTTGTTTCAAATGTTACCGCTATGTAATATATATGCAGATCGCAAAACGTTAATATAAAAATATATGTATGTTAATAGTTTAAAATGTATTATATATATTAGCCTGTTAAATATGTTATTTATTATATATTATTATATCTCACACATGTATAAAATACTAATATATTTAGTGTTGAAAATTAAACGATTGATAAAATTTATACTAATAAAAAACTATTTGAAATTAAGGTGAATTAAGCGGTTTAATGTCAAATTTAATAGTTTAATTTACCATTAGATATAACTCAATATACTCTTAAAGACGAAACGTGTAGGAGCAACATTGAAAAAAATTTAATATTTCGGTAATGCTCTAATTAATTGAAATTGAAAAAAGAAGATATTTAATTGTTTTACTTACAACAAAAAACAACTTCATGTTGCCGATGTAACTACTTGCATTTTTCGGAGAAACACAGTGTTTGAGACACGGAATGATAATCTGTTCTTATACCGGCGTGCAAAACTTCTATATATCCTCTTTTCTAACATCATGTCAATATGCCCCTCTTCATGCTTCAAGGTGGTCTCGGTTGTTTAAGCTTAGGTCACTCTTAGGAGCCGCGCTGACAAGGACGTTGACAAGAATCGGTAAGACACGCCCAAAGGTATGGAAACTATCTTTCCGCTTTACATTTTTCCGTTTAAATACACATACAATAGTTTCTGAGGTTGTTATATAAGTATCTTGCAAGTCGTCATGTCTATATGCAGAGTCACAGCATTTTGCAATAACGGTTCTTTTTTTTAAGGAAATTGCAGTCACAGATGAAAGAAAGCAGTGCTATTTGTTATTATAATTACTTTATTTTTAATATTTTGTTTCTAATATTACGCAATTATTTGATTATTATCTATATTTAAAAAATAAAAATATATAATAAAATATTATAAAGAAAAACGGTCTAAATTGGGCGGTAATAAGATTTTTTAATTAATAGATTTCTAGTTTGCAATATTACTAAGAAACATAAAATAAAAATATAAAATATATAAAAATACAAAAATAATATTGAACGTTTCGGAACTCACAGGTCCTTCTTCAGCAATTCATAAAAATGTTTCGATATCAACGATATAAATGCATAATCTTACGGTCAAAGCGACATGGTGTGGTATTGTGTTGGTTTTCGATATCAACGATATAAATGCATAATCTTACGGTCAAAGCGACATGGTGTGGTATTGTGTTTATAATGATATGACAATTTGTTTGAAGAGAAATGATTTTCCTGTTTTTGTGTGAATGTGGAAATTGTGTAAAATGTACTAAAAAACGGGAGCATCATTACTTGTTCGTCTGATTCTGTTAAGTGCAAGTGTTACAATCATTATTTATTGTAATACTTTAATACCATGTCGCTTTGAACGTAAAATTATGCGTTTATATCGTTGACATCAAAACATCTGTATGAATCGCTGAGGAAAGACCTGTGAGTTTAAAAACGTTCGATATTTTTATACTTTTACATATTTTATATTTATATTTTATGTTTCTTAGTAATATTGTGTAAAATAAAAATCTATTAATTAAAATATCTTATTACCGCTCGATTTAGACTGTTTTTCTTTATACTTTGCATTGCAAAAAATGAGCGAAATCTAATTAATAAAATATTATTTAATTCACTTCAGTAAAATTTGATTTTAAATTATTTATGCTTATATTATAATTATTGCTATTTGATACCAAAAATAAAAACAAGAAAAAGCATTCAATCAAATGTCTCCGAATTGTTAAATCAAAATTATTAACTTTCAGTTTTCATGCAAGCGTCCTTAAACCTTTAGACTCGATTTACTAAAAAAATTAGTTTCTTTTTATCAGTATCGGTACTTTTAATTCTGAAATTTGTATAAAACTCTAACAATATTTTATAAATTAAAACGTTTCATAAAGTAAAACGGTTTATCGTGTTCTTTATCTTACATTCCTTTCTTAAACTAATTTCTATGGAACTCCATTTCTGCTAATTTCAAGAACAGAGTGTTGTTGTTCCAGTGTACTACATTTTTTTTTTAGAAATGTCAGTCTTACGCAAAACGCATACATGTCGTAAATGCAAAAAGCAGCCGGAACTTTCGCAATTATAATCTGAAAGACAACAGACTTTCTCTTCCCGGAAACTTTATCAGCACGTGTGTGACGATCCTAATTCCGTACTGTACATATACATATATATGCGCTCGTGCACTAAAAAGAGCAAACAATATTTCGTAATAAGAGGACAGTCAATTTTTCCATAAAGTTAATTTATTATCATTATTCATTTTTATTAAATCGATCTTTATTCTATAGTTTTTCATTTCAATATGGTTTATTTAAGAACAAGTGCACAATATAAAGTATATTGTGCCATTCATTTTAATCATTTATACATATATTGTAAAAGTCATGGAAAATCTCAGAAAATATATCACAAATTTGAATAATTTTTATAAACAACAAACTGTCATTTTTACTTCTTTACGAAAATAGTAATAAAATAATTAATGTGTTGTGTTGAAGACTTCAAACACTATACATATATTTTTTTTTTTCAAGAAAAATGTGAATTAATCAATTTAATTACTTTTATTGCAATAAAACGAAAAATCTCAGACCGTTATTAATTTAAATAATTTTCATAAAAAATTATTAGCCATTTTGATTGTTAATATTTATATATTTTTGTTATATATAATTATATTATTAAAATAGAAGCATGTGCTTGCGTGTGTTCACGCACGATTTTTCAGTTTCGGCTGCGTCAGCCGAAGAGAAGGCCGTAAAATTGATCGCAAGTAGTTCAAGATCGCGCAACGCCGCAACTCATTCTCAGGGGATGACAGTGCTCGGATTACACGGTGATTAATAGACTCACGTGTCACGAAGCGATACACGTCAAGCCGTAATCACACTAGCGATTGTGCGATTGTGAGTGACAATTAAGGATTACTTTTTAACCAATTAGAGCAAAGCAATCGATGACTGCTTTGCTCTGATTGGTTGAAAAGTAATCCTTAATTGTCAATTACAATCGCACAATCGCCAGTGTGATTACGGCTTAATAATTCTATACGCCGTATAATTTTGTGTGTGTGTAAAGGAAATTTTCAAAATATTAAAAGTCTTAAAATTCTAATATAAGATAGAAATTGTAACACGCAACACACATTCTGTATACATTTACGGCTTTAACACTCTTGATGTTTTTATGGGTGATCCTTTGATGATCAAAAATTACAATCAATATTAAAAATATCGCGCGCGATATTGATATTTTATCCTTTTTATTTTATATACAATCAACATAATTATTAATTTAAATTAAATAAAATTTATACAACTAAATAATAGCAAAAAAAAAACTCACTCATTTATTTCGAAATCTGTCTTTTTCTCTGCTATTATTCATAAAAATCCATAATATAAAAACATCATCAAGCTAATCTCATTTTCGTGATTGTTCGAGAGTCATTCAGTAACGAGAGAAAATAACTCGCATTCATTCTTTTGCATTCTTTAAATAATAGCGTCTATATGAAGCATAACGCATGATCGGCATGATTTACGATCATTAATGTCTTAATTAACCATATAAATTAAAATGCTTGTTATTAGGAAAATATGAGCGACGTCTTTAAAATCTTTTTAATATCAAAATGATAACAAATAACGTCAGCTTGCTATCTGGGATGTATGTGTCTTAAATTCACATTTTAAAGTAATAATCAGATATCTCTTTTTATCACTCTCAACAATAAATTACGCTAATTACGCATAACTAAAAATAAGATACGTTTATGTTGGTGCAGTGATAGAAACTTTAAGAACAATACAAATGGCGCTAATCAAGTTTCTTTTTTTTTATGTGTTTATACAGAAGCAGTAATATTGTGATCAGAAGAAAATTATTCTAGGGAAGGGGGAAGAGCGTATGACAAAATGTAAATATTTATTTATTATTTACACAATTAAATTCTAGTTTTTTTTTTCTTTCAAAAGCATTTAGTAATATCAATTTTTGTAAAATCCTTTACAGGTTTTTTTATTTTTATAAATATTATCAATGCATGTCCACATGTATCAAAATGTGTATGCAAAAAATGTGTGTGTGTGTGTTCGCGCTTTACAATTTTAATCATCAACATCTTTTTCTCGTTCGCAGTCATATATACAGAGTGATGTAAAATAAAAAATAAACTATACTGTGATAAATCGATTTAGTTCTGAATAATCTAAAATCATTTTTTATTTCAATTTATTTAAAATTGTCGGATTAAGACCGATAATTGTTCGCACAGTTTAGAAAGACTACATATATCTGTATATAAATTCACACGAAATTATATATAAGCAACTAAGATCCAGCTAGACTGTTATAGGCTTCGTATTTGTATTAGTCATATTCTTTAATATTTTATTTGTAAATTATATGTGTGTGAAATAATAAGATATTTCTTGAACAATAAACAATCAATTTTTAATATTTTTGCATAAATATTTTCATATTTTGATATCTTTATTATACAATATTAAAAAAATGAATTGTAATTTTTAAAAATATAAGTAATCTTATACTCTTCTTTACGCTAGCCTGCACGTTCTTTGAAAGTAATATGTAAATAAAAGTTTTTTTTTCTTTACCGCTCATTAGTAAAACATGGATAACATATCGTAATGGCAATAAAAGCATTCTTTAAATGCAAATCCAATCTACATTCATTTTTGGGCACTGCAAGCATCACGTTCATTACACAATATTTTTTTTCCTAAACTAATTCTCTAATGTTTAAGATTTTATAAAAAATAATATTGACATTTAGAATAAAAAAACTTTAATTTAAAAGAAGTTAATAAATTAAAATTTAAAAGTATTGTAACTACATCAAGTTAAAAATTATTCATAACTTATTATTTAATAAACAAGAAGAAGGAAGAAGCCAATAACGGTCAAAGCTGAATCACAATACTTATTATAATTATGTGTGAATTTTTATATACTGCTTATGTAGTCCCCCCATAAATCGCGACGCTGATAGTTTTTCAGCATTGGCGCATACATACTTACCACAGTAATATCACGAATTTAATTGATTAACAATTTTTGATGCTCATAGCATTATGGATCTTAAACAATAGGTATATATAAATTCACACATAATTATAATAAGCATTGTAATCCAGCTTTGACCGTTATTGGCTTCTTCCTTCTTCTTGTTTATTGTTTATCAATTATGCGGTCCTAAAAAGATTTTAATATTTATTATTTAATTTTTAACTTATTAAGTAATTTTAAAAAAATATCATTATTCTGGAAAATTAAAGAAACACAAAGAAGTATTTTGATAAATAAAAAAAATATATATATAAAACGGTCTAAATTAAATGGGGTAATAAGATTTTTTTATAAAATTCATTTATAGTTTACAATGTTAATACAACATAAAAATAAAAAATATAAAATAAAATTTTATATTATTTTATATTTTTTATATATTTTATAAACGATAATATAAGTTTTTAATATGGTTTAGTAATAAACAATAAAGGAATTAAAAATGAGCATATACCACGAGAGAGAGAGAGAGAGAGAGAGAGAGAGAGAGAGAGAGAGACGAGCAAGGCTGAATCTAGAAAGATAGAGAAAGAGAGAGAGAGAGAGAGAGAGAGAGAGAGAGAGAGAGAGAGAGAGAGAGAGAGAGAGAGAGAGAAGACGCTGGATAGATTTAGCGAAATTATATTGTATTTCGTAGAATATTAAAACGAAATTTTTATTATTATAAGTAAACGATTCGGCCTTTAATATGACCATCATCGGTAAACGAAGAAAAATTAATTTAATATTCTACGAAATACAGTATAATTTCGCTAAATCTATCCAGCGTCTCGTGGTATATGCTCATTTTTAATTCCTTTATTGTTTATATTTTATACTTTTATGTTGTATTGATATTGTAAACTAAAAATTTATTTTATAAAAAAATCTTATTACTGCTTGATTTAAACTGTTTTTCTTTATACTTTGCATTGCAAAAAAACGAGTAAAATCTAATTATTAAAAAAATATATATATATATATCTTTCACTAACAATTCAATAGTTCTTTTTAAAAAAAGCAAGATCTGCATTAAGTCCATACAATATAGCTCTATGAAAAAATTATATACAAAAGATTTTTTTCTTTGACAATTTAAATTGCATTAATTCTATTTCTTAACCAAATTATTATTCATATCATAAAATTATTTTTAAAAAATATTTATATATATTACTTTTGATGATAACCATATTCTTAGAACAAAACAATGCTCCACATATCTCATATATCTTATAATCATATATCTTTAAACATTACCTACACTTTGATTCTCTTGTGTAGCTGAAAAAAATACACAAAATATTGTGTAAATTCCATACAAAGATGTAGTTTATTAAGTAACATTTATTAGCTTCATACCTTTATATGAATATTCCAAAGCTGTAGCTATTGTTCTCATATCTCCTTCTATACTGCGTGCCCAATTTTCTGCATCTCCGATTTCTTTTAAAGAGCTTGAGAAAGATTCTACTAAATTCAACCATAACTGCGTTTGTTTAGCAAAATTAGTTGCACTGTGTTGCAGTTGCTTTGCTTCTGCATCTAGCTTCTTCTGATTTAAATATGCTTGAGCTACACTGTGATAATAACAAAATTTTATATACATATATTTATATAATGTATACATGTAAAATTGAATATTATATGTATATGTAAATGATAAAACTTGTTTTTTTATCATTATGATTCATTCATTTATACTTATAGTCCATTTATTATAGAATTCGTAGCCGGTTCTTATTTCAAAACTTACCCAGTATCTGAGAATGGATTGAAATTGATTCAAATTTTCAGAAATACAGATTCATGAATGTTAAAATGAATCCTTTTCAATCCAAATACGTTTTTATTCATTTATAGGAATTGCATGGAGCATATCTGTATACTTTTCAATCAAAAAATAATATCAGCTTTTTCAGTGCGTTTGTGACCATAGTGAATACTGTACAATTCAAAATTTTGAATAGGAAACGCAGTTTTTCAATCCAGTTGCATCTAATTGAATCTAATTGAATCCAATTGAATCCAAAAAAAAGTTTTTGTTGTTTAAAATACGAATTTGAATAGACAAAATGTCCAATCCATTTTAATCCATTCTCGGATGCTGGGTAAGTAATCTTAAGACATTAATACAACCTTCTGATTGATTTGTAATACCTCAAGACAGAACATAAAACAGTCTTGAATATATGAATTAATTATGAATAAAATGGGACGCAGGTATATATTATACTATTCACATATTATATCAAAACATAAACAAAAATTTTATTTACCCAACATTCAAGTGATCAACAAGGGCTTGTGTCAGATTGCTTGCAGCTTGAACAGCATCTTTCCGCTTTTGCTCTGTTAAATCATTTCATACATTTTAAAGAGATCTCAGTAATCATCGTAAAAATCTTTGGCATAGAATTAAATAATTTACATATTTTCTACCTTGCCTTTCTTTTCTCACAGCTTGCTTGCTTTGGTGTTCTTTAACGATTGCAGATAACATTTTTGGCAGTTGCTGTCAAAAACTGTAGTGTCTCGTGCTGATTGTTCTGTACTTAAAATAAATAATTAAATACATAATAATAATTTACTGCATATTTACAATGGATATAAATAATGATTAAATACTTGTAAAAGGCAGCAAATAATGAAATAATAGCAGCATACAGCTAATACTAAAGCGAAACAACTATATATTAATATTATATATATATATATATATATACATATGTATGTAAAGTTGTTTCACTTCAACCAGAGAGAAGCCTGCGAGCAGCCATGCCCAGGATGCGCCTCTATGTCCACTAAACGTGGACATTGAACTATGTAGCCAATGTCCACGATCGTGTCGGTAATGTCCACGATTTTTTGGTTCGAATCTTCCCTATGTCTATGATTATCGATCCGTTAGGGGCTGCGCAGAGGGGCTGCGCAGAATAAAAGGAACAAGGAACAGAGAACAGAGAATAAGAATTTCAATCTATCAGAAATCATATACTGTGGAATAAACAGTGTGTATTCCATAGTACATGGTTTGTGATAGGTTGAAATTCTTATTCTCTGTTCCTTTTATTCTGCGCAGCCTTAACGGACCGATAATCATAGACATTGGGAAGATTCGAACTAAAAAATCATGGATATAGGGAAGATTCGACCAAAAAATCATGGACATTACCGACACGATCGTGGATATTGGCTCCATAGCTCAATGTCCACGTTTTGTGGACATAGGTATTCATAGGGTACGGTTAAAGTCTCGCTACAAATGCTTTGAAGCGTTTGATTGACCAATCAAAAGAAAGAACTTTTCAAATTGACCAATCAAGAAACGCTTCAAAGCATTTGTAGCATCGCGTTGACCGTACCCATAGTCAGTTCTTATTTGAAGACTGTCTTAAGTCTTAAAATGCTAAAGCGGCCCTCTGATTGGTTCGTAACTCTTCAAGACTGAACTTAAGACGGTCTTGAATATAAGAACTGACTATGAATACCGGCCATAGAGGCGCTTTAAAATAAAGTAACAACTAATGCCTGGTTTATGCTTCGGTCTTAAGATACAATTTCATGCTGACGCTTGACGCTTAAAGCGAGGAGCACAGACTTTTGCATAACGCATAAACCATATACATAAAGAATTTGATTGGTCCATTGACTCATGCATAAGAAAATGGGCCAATAAAATTCCTTATGCATATGCTTTATGCGTTATACAAAAGTGTGTACTGCGGTCTTAATAGCCCAAACACAAGCTTTTGCATAAAGGTACAATTTCATGCTGACGCTTGACGCTTATTTTTAGCGTCAAAACAGATCACGTGATCAAAATTGATGCTTAATATTCGTCAATTTGTATCACGTGATCTGTTTTGACGCTAAAAATAAGCGTCAAGCGTCAGCATGAAATTGTACCTGAATACATAGTGCATAAGAGATTCAGCCAATCAAAATATTTCTTTTTGTTGAAGTAGAAGGAAAAGAGGGCTTCAGATTGGTTGATTCTCTTATGCACTATGTATTATACGTTATGCAAAAGTCTGTGTTCCCCGCTAACTTAAAGTTGAACTAACTCGCCGCGTATCGTCAATTTGCGAATGCGTATCGGAAGAAACGTCACTTTCGTCCGCGTCTGCGAACTGCGTTCTGCGACTTATGTAGACGGGCCTTTAGCGAGCAGTCGTGAGCAGAAAAAGTTTTTATTAAGCCCCAGTAAGCCATGAGCCATGAACATTAAATAAACATTTCGAAATAAGTTTTAATTCTTTTTAGCTTTTATCATATATTTATATCAATTCAGTGTTTGATTTTTGGGCAGAAATCTGATTGGCTGTCTTATTGCTTGGCAGCCGTTATGCGCGTTGGTTCACCTCTCTTCTTACATCATGGTTTAGGGGTGCGTTCAAAATCGTCATTCGGAAACTGCCCTCGCTCTCTCTCGTTCCGACTCCCCTACGGTACAGACCATAGTGTAGAGTTCCGAAGAACCCACTCGGCCGCGACGGACGCGTTTCGGATTGAGTACTTTTCTATTTTATATTTTTGAAAGTGTTGCATTGATGTGTGCCCGCGGTTGGACTCGTCTCGATAATCCGTCGTGTTGACGGAGGACTTCTATGACGCGCGTTATTGCGATGTGACGACGCCGTAGATGCCAGGCGCCCGGAAACCGTTCGAGCAACGCCGTTTTCGCTGCCTACAGTAGCTGCGTTCAGTAATAGCAAATCTGAGGCGTCGGAGTGCTCTTATATTATAGCTTATGTCACGTGCACTATAGAAAAAGAGCACTCCGACGCCTCAGATTTGCATTGCCGAACTCAACTAGTGCTTCTAGGTAAGGGCCACGTGTTCGTTTTCTATTTCAACTTCCAATTCTAATTCTAATTCCAATTCTTAAATTCAACTTCACGTTAATCTCTTAACGTACTGCACATATTAATCGTGATTTCGAGCCGATTAGCATATCGTTAATTGTATTTGTTTTTAGCCGCATCTATAATTCCTTAGTAATTGTATTTGTATCGAATCGCGTCTGTATAGTTTATTAGAGACTGCCTTGTAATTGCATCTTATGTTTAATTGTGTCTCTAATCCTTTAATAATTCCTTTGTAACAGTACTTTGTCTAATTTAGTAGCGTATGCGATACATGTGCGTAAGATTAATAATTAGAATCCAACTGTATACTTCGATCTTACAAAACAGAATCCATAGAAGATTATTACGCGTCGATAACGATTATAAAATTTTACTGAATTATTAAATAATAAATATACGCTGATATATATAAAAATAAACGGATAAATTCCTTCGTGTTTCACGTTATCATCTCTGCATATCCAAAAACAAGTGTCTCCGAATACGCGAGTACAACAAAGATGCCAAGCTAAGGAGAAGGAGGAATAGAGACGCCTAACCAAGAAAAGGAAAGACAAAGGGCTTAAACCTGCTGTAACGTGTTACCGCCTGTGACCATCCACAAGGTAAGCCAACTCAGTAAGGGACTGTGCAGAATAAAAGGAACAGGGAACAGAGAATAAGAATTTCAACCTATCAGAAATCATGTACTATGGAATACACACTGTTTATTCCACAGTATATGATTTCTGATATAGGTTGAAATTCTTATTCTCTGTTCCTTGTTCCTTTTATTCTGCGTAGCTCCTAACTATTGCGCCAGCCTTAAGCGGGGAGCACAGACTTTTGCATAACGCATAAACAATATACATAAAGAATTTGATTGGTCCATTGAATCATGCATAAGAAAATGGACCAATGAAATTCCTTATGTACATGCTTTATGCGTTATGCAAAAGTCTGTGCTCCCCGCTTTAATCACGTTGCCAAGCATCTTCGGCCACGTGTTACGCGGGCGCTGCCATATTGGAATCAGGGGTTCTCTTTGAGCATGATACCAACTTGTCATGCGACGCGCTGCGACTCCCTCACTCTTCCACACTCGAATCGCGCCGAGCGTTGACGAAGCCATGTATCCACTGGGATTTCAATCCCAATTTTTTTGGTGATTCTAGAGGTGAAAAAAAAGACCCGTGTCCCGGCGTTTGATTGAATAGGCCTTAGTTTCTAAGTAATAAATTTGTGAAAATTGGCCGTATCCGAAGCGCGCCGCGTCGTGCTGTATGAACCTTCCCTAGATACATATTATTACATAATTCAAATTCAATTATTTCGATGCGGAACAATCACTTGGATGATAAACATCATAAAAACATTTAAAGCATATAAATTTTTTACAGTTTGCACAATGAATAAATGAAGGAGTACTACATACACATTTATTTTTCCGTAAGTCCGGGGGGAAACATATTTCGTTGACGTTTTCAAACACATTTTTGAGGAATTAATTTTGATGCAAACCAAGCGTACTCGATCATATCTATAAAAGCTTTCGCTATTTATTATCTAATAGTTTATATATTATTATTATAACTCATCTATTATTTCAAATATTATTACTTGAATTAAAATTCCCTTAAAATTAAATTTAAATTAATGTTTATAATGTGATATTAAATTAAATTTTATAAAAATTGAAATTGAATTACAAACAGCTCAAATAAATTAACAAATTAAAATTAACAATAAACCTCCCAGGTCAAGAATAAATTGAGCAATAATGGTTGTTAAATATATCTATAAATCTATTATAATGATAACATTAATGCCCACACTATATGTCCTAACTGTGCAGATGGTAACACGTTAGTGTTAAATTTTATATTTCAAAAATTTGAATACTATATCAGTATCATTAAAATAAATAAAAATAAATAAAAATATCCTATTAAAAAAAAAAATTATAACAGAACTCACGGAGCCAATTGCATTGGTTGGAAGCATCGCTACCGGGAAGATTCATACAGCGCGACGCGGCGCGCTTCGGATATGGCTAATTTTCACAAATTTATTATGCAGAAACTAAGGCCTATTCAATCAAACGCCGGGACACGGGTTTTTTTTTTTCACCTCTAGAGTCACCAAAAAAATTGAGATTGAAATCCCAGAGTGAGTCACCTGATGCTCCCCTTGTTAGTACATGTTCTATGGTGTCTACTATATAATTTTATTCGCTTCGCGCGTCTTATTTCATTAACGCTACGTTCTTTTGTTATGTGCCCGTGCACCGGAATGCCTCAACTCGGAGGCATTGTACGTAATGAATCCTATTATGCTTGGCTCGTCCAGCTAGGCTGTGTAACTTCCCGTGTGTATGACTAATCCGTGAAAATCAAGACTCTGTGACGTGCGTTTTAGGCTAATTCTACAATGTGCTTTTTGTTTCCTATTTCTTATTGTTTGTCTCTTGTCTTCTTGATCAATCACAAATAAAATTATAATATAACTTAAAATAAAGGACTTTGTTTGCACATATTTAATTGCACTAGAAATTTTTACGATTTGCATGTATTGACTAAAAACGTATGCTAATTGCTAATAGCCTAATAATACCCATAGGTCTTAAAAGTCGAAATTAAAATCATCATTATCATTCATCCATTTGGTTATTAGATACATAGCAGTCTTTTGTTTTAATTTTTTTTATGACATCCTTCGGTAAATCAAATGTTTTGCAACATTTATTTACTCGTTTTAAAGTTTAAACCACTGCGAATGGCTAATAAGACTTTAAGCATTGGTAGTTGCATTTTGTTGCGCAATTTATTTTTGATAATATTCATTATACTAGACAAACGTTCAACATCTGCATTAGAATGAGATAAGCTCAC